TAACACGTAAAGTCTGCAAAATTGTAATCACATTTTTATTACACTAACGGAGACTTAAATTGACTCAACCCCGCACCAGTGTGAGTTTTTGTTTTCTTTTTGGCTTGGGTTTTATTATAATCTATGAGTATATTAATAATAATATACTCTGTATGCTAATCTCTTATACCCAAGTCATATTTCCTGGTTAAACCGTAATCTTATGGAGTAAGGTGTTGTGTACAATTTAAACAAGTGAATATAAAGTCGATATTAAGTCCGAATAGAAAAACCTCGGAACTAGATAGTTTAATTTACCCTTTTTATGGGTCAAATGGTCATATGTGGGAGGGAACAGCTAGATAGAAACATAGGGAAACTATTTTTTTCTGTGGGCCCTCATCTATGTTATTTGCACCTCCCTCTTCACCACAATGACATGCCTAATCTAACAATTATGTTGTCAGTACTTTCGACAAGACATGACATCATAAGGTTAGGCATAGAGTTGAAAAATAAATATTTATGGTTTTATGTTATATTGCATAATAATATAGAGTATTATGTTTAAATTATGAAAAATAATTGATAGCAGTTACATGGTTTATCTTATTAGAAGTAACCTAAATCGAATTTTTTTTTGTATTTCAAGTTAGAAACAAAAGAAAAATAACGTTAGTTTCGTTATGTGCTACTGGATTTGATAGAAATGTATTTATTTCATAATATATATTATGTAGTACAATACTACACCTATAGTAATATCAGCATAATATTATTATAATTATTTATTCTCGGAAACGCGTGATGTGATAAGACGAATTCTCAGGACCCATTTCATGACCGAGTTCAAGAAAGAAACTTAGAATTCATTTTTTTGTTGTTATACATACAAACAGCCCTGCTTGAAATTAGCAATTTCAATAAAAACAATATTATTTTGTCATTCAAAACATATACTTAAAAAGTACAAATCACATAAATTCGACCGTTTAGACTTCTCTTCCAAAAATGTCGGGACCGAAATGTATAATATTATTATACGCATGCACTTTTCGCTGAGAATCGATATTATCGTAAAACGATGAATCGACGAGGTTGAGCATGCATGTAGGAGGAATATAATAATATACATATATGTTTCATATTTCCGCAGCACATGGAGGCACGTGGTTTTCCTTGACATTCGGCCGTCGGAAATATTATATTGTCGTAGGTACGGATAAATAATAGTGATGATAATGATCATAAATTTTACATCACTGCTGCTGAGCCCACCATAATATTATATCCATCGACCGTATAGGAATTTCTTTTCAGCGGAGTATCAAGGATGGGAAGTATAGGTATCCGATGAATGAGAAAACGAAACACCATTTATTTATATCCGATACGTTGGTCGCGCGTTTACACAAACGCGGACAATACAGCAATCCGATGATTCTATGTGAGAGTGCTTCCCACAATATATCTCAAACATCGTCGAATTATGTTTGAAGTCTACGTAAACCGGAACCGGAAGTCCCAAAATACTAGGGTGGGGGTGGTTTTGCTTGGAGTCTCGATAGGTAAAAAAACATATCATTATATAATTATCATAATATTATCTCGTGTAAGTGACGATGGAAAGTACCTGATTCATCGTAGATTATATACGATGTAGGTCGCGGAAATAACTTAAAAGAAGATTAGATGTTTTGAATTTTGAATAACTAGATTACCTACATGATACAAATCATAATAAACCATGATTCCGTGTCACTGTAATTATTATAGAGTTCTACGCATCCGAATTTTTCGAAACATTTGAAATGTATTTTTGGCATTTTCAATTACTCGAAATCTTTGGAAAAAAAAATGATTTGCTATTTTTTTCTGTACCTACTTAAAAAGCAAAAATATATGAAATAGTTATTAAAATTTACCTATTAATTATAATATAGATACATTTTGAAACAGTTTCTTTGTTCCTAGATGATTTAATTATTCATAACAGATAACGGCTTAGATAACTTAGTTCCTATGCTTCTGGATAAGATTAAAAAAAAAAAAATTAACATCCCAATGTAAAACACAACACTAGGAAAGGTTTCTAGATATTAACTGTTAAGTTTTTCTTACTATTCGGAAAGGACTTAAAACATACACATTTAACTATAAAGTATACCATTTGATAGACTTTCATTATGACAGACTATTTGTCACTAACACAAAAATATTTATTGCACAATACAATTTTTTACTTGCACGATTTGGGGAAATGATTTATAAGAAAAATTCTATTACTAAACGCTGTTGTTATTGCTTCAAATATTATATTTTAATATATATGTATACATATATTCGTAATGTACAATGTCTAGAGAAAAAAAAATCTTGTGTCAGTAATTTGTATATAAACATAATTTTTATAATATTGGAAGTAAAAAATGTTATTAACAAAAAACATTTTAGTAGTAGTTGTACTACACAACTGTTAAAAATAATCATTGTTTGGCAATATAACTTTGAAATTCTTTTATTTTTTATTTAACAAAATCATTTTCTTATGTAACTTGGAAACTCATTTATTTTTAAAAAAAGGTATAAAAATTGTGTGAAGACAAATTGTTGGTTAAAAACATCATAGAAACGTAAGTAGAATATGACACGGTAATCGTCGAAATTGCTAGGTAGTGACTTAGAAGTAAAACTTTTTTCATCTCACTTGAAAAGTGGGCTCAGGAGCCCAATAAACTACTCTGTGGATTTATAAAATGTCGAAATAGAACCGATTTAAAAAAAATAGCTATTGTTTTTCCCCGTTTGCCTTCATACACGTTTAAGACTGAATACCGTCAATAATCAGCACAGTACATTAATCAGTCTACATTTTAACACTTAACGTTTATGTATGGAGCGGACAAATATACATTCTGACCGTTTGCAAGCAACCAAACTAAGTTTCTTACAGGAATCGTTACTGACGTATTATATTATTATTTCGTAACGACTTGTATAGACGATGTTAAAAGCTTAAAATTGGAGACTGTACGCACAAATTAGAATAATAATTTTATGGTACCTGCCGCGGTAAAGCGTCGAATGTTAACCGAACTAGTTGGGGTACAAGGATGCCTGATAATAATCAAAGTTGTCTGACAAGTGGGTCATAAGTGAATATTTAATTGAATACATTAATGCTGTTAATTATACATGTACGAATTCAAAAACGTTTAGTTATGTATTATTCTCGTCACATATTATAATATTTTTAAATTATTGTTTTTGTTTTCCATGACTTTTGTGACCTATGATGGTTTAGAATGTTTGAGTAGGTAATCGACGTTCAATTACATCATAGGCTTGAATATTGCTCGGGATAATATTGTTAGCTTAGAAACAAAAGATTCAAACTCACCGACTTACCGACTTATCGACTTGAGATAAGTCAACATCATCGAAGTCGCAATATTAATAACTGATTTAAATTATTATATTTTTACGATGCATATAGTAGTTGTCCTTATTAGCAAGGAATATTAAATTAATTATAAATTGTATTAACCGTGATTGTAAATTGTGTCGAGTTCTTAATAGCTATTGTGGTCCAAATCACACCGATGTCGTTAAATGCTTGATAATTGTACGGTAATTTAAACGTTAACGCCCTTGACACAATGGTGTTGACATGAATGAAAATAAAATTTGTGTAACACTAATAGTATCATTCGGTCCTTTATGTATTTCTAAAAACACACAAAATACATTATTTAATAATATTACATATTATGTGTTGGATTAAAGAAAATTATAGTAATTTATTGATTGAAATATGATCAATAATTTAAAATTATTGTAAAGGGATAAGATACAGACGGGTTGTCTTTCTAAAAATATCTAACTTCATTCCAAGTCCAATTATTAACTGATCGTTGTATGTAACTATGCGATAAGGTTTTTAAAACAAATTTAAGTTGATCGTCTTGTCTTATTTAGATCTCGGGTACTAACAAAACGACATACAACCTTTGACTTTAAAAACAATTTGTGTTCTTCATATAAATAAATGTTAAAATCATAGGATCAAAAGTAAGCATAATATTATGACTTTCAAAACAGTTTTCAAATCGCATGAATTGAACGGTCAAAATGATTACAATTATAATATTCAGCTTAAATATTTCCTTTAATAAACTCCTTAGAAACGGAGTATTTCGAACGCTTAACCGTATAATCTATATTAACATAATGATAATTATTCTTTCTAAATAAATTATTTGAATTTCATTAAAATTGAATGACAACTCCTTTGGCTGCTTTTAGTTTAATTTGAATTAGTATTAATTTAACTATTCTTATTTTTTTTTTTTACCTAAACCGTCACTACAATATTTCCCATCATATCGTGCCTCTTTGTATTTTTTTGTCCATATAAACACTTTTCCATAATCATCGGCGTAACTATGGGGGGCTAAGCATACCCTGTATCTACTAGTTTATGTATAATGAGAATGAAAACAAACATCTGGTCAACTATGGCTCAACAAATATTCAGTGATCCATGGCTATATTAAATACAGAAAGAGAAATATATGTGGTTAGATATTATCGATAATGATATTTTATTAGCATTGATGGAATAGCTGTCTGCTCAGTTATAAAGTATATATTATATTGTTTGCATTATATTTTTAAAGACGAGGGCAGGAAGCACTTTTACTGTATGTAATGGTTGATTTTCAACATTTACGTTACGCGACTCCCTATTATAGTCCCCGGGACTACTGAACCCTAGTGACGTTCACCATAGTAGGTCGAAGGGGGGTGGGTGGCTTTTCGCCCCACGAGTTATTTTGGACTTTGAGTCCTACGGGTACTCCAGCCCTCACTGTGACTACCTATCAAATCCTAGCTAGTTACAGCCATATGCCCGTTACACGTACGCACGCGATGTCCGCATAACACATGCGTACAATGCCTGCAATGCGAAATGAAACGAATAAAAAAATTAATCGATTCACACGTGTCTCGTTTCGCAGGAAGTGAAGAGCCTGCCCAGCTCGCTGAACGCGCTGCTCTACCTGTGCTTCAACGTCGGACCGGCGCTGGTCAAGGCTGTCGTCGCGCTCACAGCCTCCGTGGGCTTCTTCCTGGTCGGTCTGGCCGTCATGCGGTTTGGCAGAGGTCAGCAGAAAAAGCAGCATCCCGTCAACGGGTCGGCGGCCGGAGATCACGAGGGCGGTCGTGGCAGGGGCTGCGGGGACGACGACGGCGACGACTACGAAGACGACGGCGGTGGCGCAGAGTCGGGTGGGCTGATCGCCAAGACGTGTGGGCCCGCGGCCGGACGGTACCGCGACAAGTCATCGTACCTGCCGTTGCACCGGGTCACCGTTCCGGGGTCGTCGTCGGTCGTCGTCGATTACGATCGCTCGCAGGACTACGCGAGAGGACGATGACGACGAGACGATAGTGACACTACCTACCTATTTATATATTACAGAATATCTCGTCATTATTGTCTTCACACGCCTATTATGTATACGCGCCATATTGTCGCGTGATTTAAACGTTATTTATTCATTATTATTGTCATACCATTGTAATATTATATTATGTTATATACTATGTACTTACGCTCCGCGGGTGTCAGCCAGCCTGGGTTAGGTCAGGTTACCCAGCCCAACCCAACCAACAACCTATACCATATATTTACCATATAATATGACGTGTATTATGGAAATTGATCTGGGGGTACGTGTACGCCCCTCGCTATTTACCTAAGTATTATATCGAAGCAAAATGTCGCCACTTATACCTACCTACCATATATTTTATACCTAAATCGTCCTCCCTTCAGTGGTCGATTTCGTAAAACGTCCGTGAGAAAACTGCATATCCGGAATAATGGCACACACAATCACGCATAGGCAGTCCGTGTCGTGGTAGGTGGGCGAAGCTCATTCATTTTTTTGTCTCTGTCCTCAGTCTCCTGCCGCTGCCCCTTAGCCATTTTGGGCGATCGTATTCAACCTAACGTGGAAGATCTGATCCAAAGCTTATAATAATTGTATGCAAATATATACGCGTAGGAACTCAAATTTTGGGAATTTTTTTTTGAACTTTTCACGTATTCGCATCACATTATCATGAATTTGATATGATTTGATTTGTATGACGTCATAAACGCCGTCGTTTCCGTCCTTCACGCATTATACCGATCATTACTGTAATGGTGTATCGGTATTTTTTCCGCAATATTTCCGTTGAAAAATGTTCGTCTATATCAACACCTCCCAATAACGTAGTTTGTGCCCTCTACACTCACGTTTCTACTAATAATTCGAACACGGTGCTCGGCGACGTATATTATTATAATACAATAACGTCACTTCACCTACCTACGACCGAATCGGGACCAATAGGTAGCAAAAGTCAATAACACCGCAATTATAACTAATACGCAAGTGAACATAATACGTGGTTTAATGAGACCTCGGGTGTCAAAACCTTAGCACAATATAATATTATATACGCGACCCGAGCTTCTAAATACATTATTGCAGGATAATTTCAACTCGTTTCCAAGTCCAAGTCCCGACCACCTAAACGCGGTCCGAAGTATCGCAATACCTTTGTCGTTTAATGTCATCATAACGGTTATTATATCGGTGAAATTAATTTACTCGTTTCAAAGGTTCGCGTGAACTCAAAGTCGTCGTACATAAAAACGCCCTCAGCCAGAATGTTCGGGTCGGTCGTGCCAGGGAAAAAGCGGCGAAATTGTCGGGAAAAAAATTCGGCAGAGCAGTTGCACTGCATCACAATAATATAACACATCGGTATAGGTAGACTGCTGCTCCAGACACGCCCAGATTTCGACATCGGATTTTATGACCCTAGATATTATGATATATGTGTCACAAGTTCCCCGAGGAGATTGCGATTAAAGGGGGCGCGGAAATAACCTGAATCTCGACACTGCCGTGCAGACGTCGCCCCTGTAATATATGTTTATATGATGTACAACTTCTTTTTTATTTTTGGACTTCTTTGTCGAACGAATGCTCCCGAAAACCCCAAGATAATTCGTTTAGGTTTCTGGGTACAATAATATATACCATATTAATTGAACGGAATCACCACACCCCACGCATAGTATAATAAATAATACATTATAAGGACGATGGAAGTTACACGTCTCAAAAAAATTATCGATACACATTATATTAATGCATGATATTATACCCACTACTTACTTTGCCGAAGAATGTTTTCCCTCGAGGGATTTATCGAAAACCTTTGAAACATCATCTCCTCGCTAATAAATGATTAAAAACAAATTATGTTTCACTCGCCTTACCTTATTGTATTATTATTAAATTACATAAATATTTAACGGAACTTGTAAAATGATCGTTATTGTACACAACTCGTGGTTGTTACTTGTTTAAGATATGCACCTATTTATCATACATCGAAATACATTTTTGTGGCAACTGCAATAATAATAATTAACTTGCAGTGTATTTAAGTTGTACGAAATATTTGTTATAATTATACATATATATATATATAAATAGTTGTTTTGTATATAGAAAATATGTTTTATTTGTATATATACGTTGTATGATATATTATGATTATAATCAATAAAAATAAAAATAATTGAAATAATGACTATGCTGATTAAGCAACAATAATAGTTGACTTATTTAGGTTTTTTTAACAGTTATAACTACACCATTGTACAATTACTATACTATTGTAACGGATTCCTTGTTGAGCGTTATAGAGTTGTTATAAGAGAAAATAAAATATATTTATTTTTGTTATAATATTTCCCATTGGTAAGTCATAACAATTATGTCCATTGCAATCCAGTTTTTTTGATAAAACGTTTAAAGATGGATGTCGTTTATAGATTTTTGATCATATGATGATGTTCATAGAATTAGTTCCAAGTACTTTACTTACCTTAGGTTACTTACCTTTAGAAAAGTTTTTTTCTCTTCAATATGTATTATCATTGGATTTATTGAAAATTTGAACCTTCTATTTGAGAAACGTCGTAAGTCACAAAATATCACAAATAGAGGTATTGAGTGTAATGTGTTATCAAATGTGAAATGACAGACGGATCATGTGTGAACATTTGCAAAAAAAAAAATACTTTATTTTACCGCCGTTAATATAATCAGTATGCAAGAGAAATAACAATGTATCACTTGTTTTCTTCGAATTAACTTTTATTGACTTACTTCGTATCTCAAATAGGTGGTTCATTTAATTCCGAACCTTTAAAACGAAGAAATTGGATTATGAAATGATTATTCAATAATTCTAAATTTACATAATATTATTATAAAAGGAAGATGGATGTTAAGTTCCTTTACGGAGTATAGCAGATAAAACCACACTTGCAAAATTGTCTACAAGAGTAAGCATGATAAATTGTCTATGACAGCTTATTAAACACAACATTAAAATTGAAAATGTTAGTTCCTATACAAAATTAGAAACATTTTTTTTCTTTATTTAAAATGTAGCTTAAGTCGCTAATAAGGAGTAATAACCGACAATTTATATTAAATTGTGTTTAAAATGCGTTAGTTTTCATTTATTTATATGAAATTAGATATTTATATTATGTATTTTAAACGTATGCTCGAAATATGGTATACTCTAAGGTATAGGTTATACTATAAATAAACATTATGCAACGGCACTTGACTAGTAACCATAACTATTAATCAGTATATTACATTATACATATAATTTACAGCACTTACTTTTTTTAAACTATAGAACTTACCTGTTTAATGGTCTTTTTTTCGTTTTTGAATTGGACCCGACCAATATTAGGGTCTGTCTGACGACTCGAAGAAACCAGACCGAGTATAGATGTTTTTCTCATATCGTACTACACTTAGCCGATACTATATTATATACTATTCCTAACATAATAAAACTTTCTCATTTTTATAAAAATTAACCTCCTACTGAACCTATATGGAAGAGAAATTAATAATAATTGTTATAAGTCATTTAGATTTATTTATTCTTTCCAAAGTAGCAAACTAGATAGGTACCTACTTGGAAACAATTACGATTTTTGAAACGTTGATGTCATACAAAATGTTTCTGAATAAGATTATTCTTATTAAGACCATTCTGACCCAACTTGTGACTGGACCGACAGAAATATACTGAATTTAATTTAAGCTTGAGGCGTCATTTTAGGGAAGGAAGCTGGTCATGTTGACATGTTAGGTTGAGGTAGTAGATTGGACTGCCGAAACAATGCACAATTTATTATGTTTTGTATAAAACAATTTAAGTTGTATTTTTAGATTAACAAATTAAATAAATAAATCAATGACATATTATAAATTAATAATTGAGTACCTAAAGGTTTTTTCATAGCTCAAAAAATATGTTAAGTCATGTTTACTGTACTCATGATATATGTCTTTTAACCTAGACACTTATTGTATATTATGATATAGGTTGTGTATTTCGACTAAAAATTTAAAAAAAAGTCATGCTTACACTCTACCATGGGCCATGGCCAATGAGCGATAAAAGACTAAACGATCCATGGTTTGGATTGTATTAAAATAGGTACTTTTAATTATAAATATGAGTTTAGAATACGATGAAGACTTATTTGCTAAACTTAAAAATCATCGGTATCCGTTTTAAAGAATATTTTTTTCTAGAGCTTTTGTTTTTTCAAAAGTTATAAATATAAGTTATGTTTTTTATTTTATATACATTTATTTATATTTCATATTCGTACAGTTATGAACAATTGATAAAATTAATACTCTTTTAAAAAACTACTTTTTTTGTTGAATTGAATTTGTCTTCTCCAATCGTTTTTAATGCATTAATTATTGATTATCACAGGTTTAGTAATAAATTATTTATTAGCTTTTAGTTTTTCAATTAATTTTTACTATTTTCGTTGATGCAGTCCATTATCCGTGTTTAAAATTAAAAACAGGATAATATACCTACACAGACAATATATCTGCTGACTACTTTTATATGGTCTGATGAAATTTAAAAATGGCCTACTAGAAACCTTGCACACAAGAAACCAAAACCTGAAATGGCGCCCCTGACTTAATAATATTACATCAATTCAACAGGGTTATACAAGCAGCTAATTATTGGACCTGACCGGATTTCATCTCAGTCTGGTCGTGTTTGATCGCGATTATGATGTATTTGTTGTTATTATGCAGTTTATAGTTGAAACGGTTGCAGCTAATGTGCTTAGTGTCTCATTGTTATACAGCAGTTATTGTTTTTCGATTATTGCGCTGTTTTATAATCACATTTGTGTAGAAATTCAATTGTCACAGTGCTCACCAATCACATTGATAAATCATTCGATGTACAAGTGATCTCGCTACTCGACTGTATCTTCTCTCTGTCACATTTTTTTTAAAAATCATAATATATTTGAAAAACCGTTTGGTAAAATTTAACTATATTGCAGCAAAACTACGATTGAAATAATATTCGAACTATATAATAACGTATGTTTACCTAAACACAAAGCGAACAATCATTTAGTGTCTTGTTTCGTGTTTCATAGAAATCTACGACAGGGAATTTTTATTATAATATTGCACATGGCTGATTCGTATGAATATTTAATATCTTATTTAACTGCAAATTTCCATTGCGATAAAATCATGTCATGCAGAATACTTGCAGGCGAGTGGCAACAGTAATATTACTTGTCGAATAACGAAATAATAATTTTATTAGACGTCATTTCGTTGTTATTCATATTTACACGAGTACACTTTAAAAACTAATCAGATCATTTATAAATATTATTGTGTTATACGTTTTGAATTTTTGAAAGCCCGCCGGCATCAACTTATTGTTGTGCAATTTCGGCTAACACAACGTATATAAGCGCCACATATCGATTGGAAATATGATATATTTATCTTGAAACAGATCCGTACGTACCAATACAATATAATTATTGAGGATTTAATATTGGGTTATACATTTGTCTGCCATAAGGCGTTTCGATGAAATATATTTAAATCTAACATTTACCTCGTCCGTTGACTGTTGAACGAAGTATTATAATACCTATAGAGGCGTTTAATGCAATACGTATATGGATGATTTACATAACGCATATTTTATAACACCATACAATCATTGATACTTTGTATGGCGAATTTTTACACTCAGTTTTTTCAAAACTATTCTACAAACTATTTTTGGGTAACTAGATGCACGTAATTTCAAAAACTTACCGCCTCACATTATTTTTATGCTCCCGTGCCTACATGTTGGAAACTACACTATAATGAACTTCTGATTTTACACGACCATCGGACGTCAAACGAAAGGGAATTTAAGACGCGTACCCATACAAAATATAATATAATATATAAATATAATATTCTGTAGGTACCTACATTGTACCTATTTATATTCAATCTTAACGTTACTCGATACAATAATATTTATTGTAATAGATAATGGTAAATATTGTACGGATAGTAACACGAGTAATAATGTCATAATGATCATCGACAGTTATAGGTTAAGTACGAATACTATTACACTCAAGAACATTACAATAATATCATTGTTATTCCGCGAGAAATGTAGTTTTAAATATCTATCATGCCCCTATTTTGCTTTACTTTTCAATTTTTATCATATTATAATATGGTTCATCGTTCTCAAAATGTTGATTGATTAATCCACGAAACGAATCGTGGGTGTTGGTGTGTATACGCGACCTATAATTTATTTTTTACTCACCTTTAATAAAAAAATAACATAATATGAGCACTCTCGTTCTAATAAACCGGGTTAATAACCATGTGAAAATTGTATTTTATTACTAAAAACGTTTAAAACGAAATAAAAAACCATGATTAAAATAATTGTTTTAACAGATACGTGTATAATTAATATATTTATCATAACATAATATTTCACTAAGATATAAACAATAAATCACTTTGCCGATTAAACGATTAGTAAAGTAATTCTAGAACAAAATATTGATTGGACTAAGTACAACATATAGTAGTTACAGTTGCATTGGTAAAATCGTAGGCCGAAACAGTCCTTGTTATGAAAACCACAATTTACTACTTATATTATTAATATATTTGTTTGTCCACGTAAACACATATAAGTTCTATATACAAAGTAAAATCACCACATTCAAATAATTTTCACTAAATAAAACAAATATATATGTATATACAATATTATTATGTGTATATAGCTTCAAACAAATGTATTTTTTTTTAAATTTATTTAATCAATCGTGCACTCTACTCGAATTGGACTTAACAATTTGATGGAATTCGAGTATACGTTTGCACTCAGACTTTATCAAACTTCGTTCTAAAATATAAATCTTCTGAGAATTCATTTTAATATAGAATTTAGGTAATTTAAACACAAAAAATCAAATTTGATATACTTTATATTTTATACTCTGCACGTCAAAGTTAATTATGGATATACGAATATTATATT